CTTTTAAAATATTGCTAAATTAATGATGTTTAATAAATGGAGTAAATTTGTTTAAACGTTTGTTTAACAAGGAGGGGTGTATATAGCGCATTGCTCAATTGTTATTTGTCTAGTTGACCCTGTGCGTAATGGCGTCGTGTGACTTAGAGTTTGTGAAAGTGATAGCAAAAGGTCGTTTTTCGAGAATATATGAGGCGAGGAGGGTGGATAGTGGTGGAGTCGGTGGGAAACACGCCGTGAACTGTTTACCAGGTTTGATCCAAAGACGGTTGAGCATATTCGTCGTGAAGAGTACATGTTGAGACGCATCGCCACAGCAACCAAGCAGTCCCCATTCGTTATCACCTTCTTCGAGTAGATGGAATTGCGAGGTTATCCCGCTGTGGAATGGACCTCTTTAGTCTCGCAGACAGATATTGGTGGCATGACAGAAGAACAGGCCAAATTCTATGCTTGTGAGCTCATCTGTGGCTTGGAGCATCTCCACTCATTGGACATTGTGCACTGAGATATCAAACCGGAGAATATCTTACTCTACCACACTGGCCATATCATGATCGCCGACTTTGATTTTGCCATGGACCAATCAGCGCGCGGTGATTCTAACTACAGAAACTATGCTGGTGGAACGCCGGGCTATGTAGCACCTGAGATTTTGAAGAGAATGACTTGCACGAATAAATCGGATGTGTGGAGTATGGCTGCTGTGATAGCTGATCTAGTCACTTCTTCGAGGACGTGGACTGGCAAATGGTGGAGAATCTCAAACTCACTCCACCATTCGACTTCCTCCATGAGGAGAATTCACCTCAGCAACTGCCACAGATGGGAAACATCAAGGATGACTCCATAGTTGGTAGACCACGTACTCCCCCACAAACTTACAACGATTTCGTCGCTTCAAGACCTAAAACCATGAAAGAATCCCGTTTCTTTCGATGAAGATAGTATTTTGTCGAGGTCGGCAAGTCTGGAGTTTAACGAACACTGTGAATGAATGGGTGCCGATCCGAAATCAGTTCCAAGTAACCTCAAATCACATCACCTATGTCTTTGATCCAAGGGTTCCCCAATCGTCTCTTTTGTTTTAACCGATTCCCACTCTACACAATTTGTAACAATGCTTTTTGTACACCTTGTAACAAAATACGCACATTTGTAATTGGTGCTTTACTGCTGAGATCTAGACTAGAAATGTGTTTGCGTTAATTTAGCTTAATGAATGGTGTCTGCTTGGTGAGATGGGTGGTTGTTCATACGAGTTGAATGTCAATTAGGGAATACATCGAGGAGGCAGCAATTAAGGACATTGATACCACAGTTTCATGGAGTCGTCTTAGAGATGAGTACTCCCTAATGACACACTTTCCTTCTCAAATAGCCAATACCCTCATCACACGTGCTTTATTTAAGTCGAGAAAATCTGTGGAAGGGAATTCACATGAAACTGTTCAATTCTGTTAGCTAGTACAGGCTTTGATTGTTGAGCTTAGAAGAAAGGTCTTAACTCCAAAGTCATGGGTGTGGGAATAGGAAGCTAATGACTTAAACTTATTAAACTGTCAAGTTATCCTGGGAACCACGTCGGAATGCTGGCATAGAAGAGTTGATGGAAGTTTTCCTATTCCCTGAATTTGTGTTTATGGTTTTGTTTTCATGAAGCAGAAGGTCGAGATATCTGGGTATTGATCACTTCAAAGATCTCAAATCTATTCGCTGTTGCTAGTTTGAATATTGATTATAGCTACGAAAAATATTAGTTTTACATTTGAGAAATTCACCTCGAGTGAACTCTTGTGAGTTTAGTGACAATGTTTGTTAAGATGTATGTATAGATAAGTGTTTTACAATGTTTGCTTAGAATGGATAAACATGAAGATGGGGACTAAAGGTTTGCCTAGAAACATCAGAGAGTTAAGTTGCATTATTGCCTGGTGGTCTAGCATTTCATTCAGACGTTCACCGAATGGCACTTGCGAAAGCATTTCATCATAGTAGGAAAAGAGATGAAAAATTGTGGGTTGTGGATCAGCCGAATTGCACTATCCCGATGAGGAGAAGTAGATCCCGTTCACATGTGACAGCCATCATGAAAGTCAATTTCACATACAATAGTTGTTGGCTGGGTGAGGGGTGGGGTAGGAGTGTAAGATGCAGCACCTTGGAAGTAATGTGGTTCACTAAGGCTAATAGGCAGAGTGGAAATATTACAATTCTGCTAGGACTGAATGAAGCGATCTCTTAGTGTTAGCTTCTGGGAGGAACACTTAGGTATAACAAAGGGCCTAATTTGTGTAGCCTCCACTTTTGCCTTCCAGTTGGAGCACTCATTTTCTTGACATTAATACTACAACAATGAGTTATTAGAATTGAGTAACATGTAGTGGATTGTCACACTAATAAGCCTTGATCCTACTAAGCACCCTCTTAGCCATATTCTCCAATATATGGAACGTCTCCCTGAATTAGCTATGCAGACACAATGATGTAGTGAAAACAGAAGTATGACATGGAATGAGTTTATTGCAAAGTTACTTGTCATGTGGTTTACAGTTGGCGAATTAAGTCAAAAAAATAAACTTTATCACATGTTGACCAAGTAGTGACTATAGATATTGATCCAAATCTACCACCAATGGAGCATTACGCAATCGATTCTATTGATTATGCCTGAATGTTTTTAGAAGTAATTACATTTTAATTCATCAAAAGGTTAGTTGAGGTCACAGTATGGCTATATCGAAATACTTTGTTGTTCATAATTAAGTCCTATTTCAATGCAAAATACTTTTATTATCAGTAATCTATCATGCAAATATTTAGAGTTTTGACTAATTCACCATTAAAACAGATTTTTCTACATCTTCTTTTATTATTTACATCACAATCGTGAATTCACATTTCTGTTGGTGTTAAATCCAAAATTTAACATGACAGAAGAAGATACCTATCGGTCAATCAATGATTAAAGCCATCACAGCCAATAAACCGCCGAATTCAGTATGTAGTAATATGATCAATCAATAGCCAAAGTCACTAATTGGATATCAAACGATAAGTTACCATTTTTTGACTAAATTCTCCATATTCGAAATACATCTCAAGTATCTTCCCAATAAACGTATTCCATGTCATACATCTGTTTTCACGGAGTGTGCGATAGGCTTACCTCCACGTGGTGCACCGTGGGCAACGTATATTCATACGGCAAAATAGTCTATTGACTGGCAGTTGACTTCTCACTTCAAACTACCATCACCTCATTCTATGCTATATTCGACTATTTCACAGTTCTCACCTAACCTTTGTTCTTCCTTTGTGTTTGTCTCTTACATATTTGAAACCCTCTTCTGTTCCCCCCCTTCTCGACTTTTTATCAACTTGATGTTTCTTCCTCTCTGTGAAGCCTGATGTCAACTAAAGAGCTAATGATAACCATCAAAACGCCTGCTATTTGTTATAAATAAATGAATAAATAACATCTGTTTTCACAATATCGTTGGTCTGCGTAGCTAATTTATGGAGACGTTCCATACATTGGAGAATATGGCCAAGAGGGTGGTCTGTATGGTCAAGGCTTATTAGTTTGGCAAACCTCTACATGTTACTGAATTCAAATAATCGATTGCTGCAATTTTGATTGGCATTCTCATTTCATTCCGATTTCCAGCTGCCAATGTGGTAGATATGCCAACACCGAAGGCCTTTCTACGGCAATTACTTTCACAATGTTACCTCCTACTTATAAGAATGGAGTATGATTGTTGTAGTAAAGCCGATTATGACGTAATCTTTCAGGTCGATACCAATTTTCCATCGTGAGGCCAAGTTAATTAATATTTATTTATAACTTCGGGCTCCACAGAAGGGAGAAACATTAAAGTTACAAAAGGTGGAGGTAGAGGGGTGAAAAGAAGAGGCAGACACGTGGAGGCAAGTCTGTAAATTACCCCAATTTGAGAATATCAAGACTCAAACTCGTCTTAGTAGTTATGCGACTTCCGAGGCAAAATAGTTTTGATCGCATGCATTCACAATTCAACATTGAAGTCAATTCCTTGGTGAACACCTCTGCTGGTTGCCTTGTTTCTCCAATCCTGAATGATTTGCAGCATACGATAAATTTCAGTGCTATAATTAAGGTAAATACGATAAAATATGCTCGAATTTACACCGTGTTTTCCGAACTAATTTGCATTTGCCTCACTCCCTATAAAGTCAAAAGCAAATAAGTTAAAACCATCTTTGATGGTAAAAATGACTTAAAACATTTTTATTCACTTCTGGCATAGTTTGAAGATTTGATGGCAGAAATGAAACACATGCGCGCAGATGGAATCAGAAAGTCCCAAATACTGTGCAGATTGGTAGGACAAAGTGTGAATATTAAGTTTCCGAACCGAAATCGTTTTATGGCCCATTCCATCAGTGACTTATGCCTCTATGTGCAGAAAAATTATTCATAAACTGAGAGATTGTAGGAGGAAGGTGTGCGTTAAATTAAATTAGAGATGTTCACATTTTCGCGCGAAATTTCATAATCTACTTGCAACTAATCAATTATCTGCAAATTCTCAGCAATTAACTTCATGTTGACAGTATTTTAACAATGCCACTTTGCGTTACAACGAAAATTCTTTCTTCCTCACTCATTCATATCTAACGTGATTCCGTTTGGTTGGATCGATTAAGGTTGTATTTTAACTTGAATTCAACTAGTTTCAATAGGCATCAATAGCATCTTAGCAGCAGTGGACTACTTCTGTTCAACAACTTCACTACTGACTTCGCCTTTTAGTTGGCAATCCGAACACTTATGAGTAAAATCTGCATTTTACTAAATTTATTCTTCACTGCTTATGTAACAATTAATCGAATGTGCTAACCCTCTTAAAACCATGCCTACCAACTCTGGTTTTGCCCAATTTTCAAAGGAAAAAAAACGACAATATGCAATAACCACTGCTCGAAAATGGAAAAAATTGATTGCACGCTATGACTGGAATCGTTTTATTCGAATTCACACTCGGCGTTACGGAAAGGGCTTTTGAAGTGGCAATCAGAAAATTAGGGGGAGAGGGTCTCCTATTTCAATGAAGTCAATTTCTTAAACAAGAAATGGTTTGCGAAAATATTAGAAAAGAAATTGATTCCTGCAACCCAGTAGGCATCTTAAGGTTTCGAAAATTGGAGACCTGGCAAGTGCATTCTGGTAAAAATTAATTTTTTTGCTTATTCATGATTTTATAGCATCCAATCGTTTAACTTGAGTGAAGTAATACATGCGCACAGTAATTCACATAAGCACTAGTTAAATATGCTTTACAATATGAAATTCGCATTTTGTTTGGAGATATATGTGGTTGCTTATACGTAATTACTTGTCTGCAACTGGAGTAGCATTGCTATTTTGTCTCCTCATTCTATACAGCCAGAAACGTGCCCTCTGGAATTCCAACTTGATAGGTGCGAATGTTCCGGACTCACAAAGACCCACTCACTCTAATCCAATAATCTTGCCTAGGAAAAATGACACATCAGATCATCAATTTTGTCAATTACTTCGCAGCCAATATCCCATAATCGACAGTGCAGACGGCGATATGGATATTGCATACACTTTGATGGTTCACAGGGATATCAAGCAAATAGCAAGACTTCTTCGAATGATCTATCGTGGAAACAACTACTATTGCATTCATACTGATGCCAGATCAAGTGAGGAATTCGTGAAAGGTCTTGAGACACTGATTTCATGTTTCGGATCCAATGTTGAACTGGTTCCAAGGAGCAGACGTATCGCGGTGACATGGGGAGATGAGACCGTTCTGTTGCCCCAGTTTATCTGTGCAGAGCAGGCCCTACAAAGACACTCAACATGGAGATATCTCATTAATATTGTAGGTCAGGAGTTCCCTCTTAAAACAAATCTGGAAATTATTGCCGCATTAAAAGCTTTAAATGGATCCAACCTTGTGGAAGGTTTGCCTCTTGGTAGGCATATTAGACGTACAGAAAACAAAAGTTTGCCTTTGAATGTAAGCAGTGGCACCTAAGAATTTGAAGAAACCAGTATGTTTATTATTATATTTATTTATTTTGCACAAATTAGGCAACTTGGATTAAAGGATCAGTATATGGAGCCTTCAGAAGGGACTTCCTGAAAAGGACAGTGTTGGACAAAAGCATGAGCAGTATTCGTGATTTTATAATGCAACCGAAAATGTTCATCAATCCCGATGAATTTTACTTCAGCACATTAAATTACAATCCACATCTCAAACTTCCTGGGTCATGTTTGACGTTCCCCGTACCTCCTCATGAAAATCAGATGGGATTTTTGGCGAAATATGTTATCTGGAGAGGATACCCTACACCCTGTACTACTAAGTTCGTTCGAGATGTTTGCATTTTAGGGAATCCTCAGGTGGAGAACTTAAAGAAGGCACCACATTTGTTTGCAAACAAGTTTCATGCTAACTACCACCCAGAAGCCTACGATGAACTAGAACGGTGGTATTTCGATCGAGTCAGAAGGGAGCGTGAGACAGGTTCGTATGACATGGAGTCATTTGATCCAAGTATTTATGCCAATCGCACTTGTTCCCGTCTCCATCAATAATGAGATTTCAAGAGAATTGGGGTTCTTAATTGCGCTTGATGAATCAAGTTATGAAAAATGTGCAGTTTTTATGCTTTATTAATACATGTGTAATTTCAAATAGGGTTTCTATTTATATTGTTTTTCAATAAGGAGGTTCAATAATAAATAATGTAATTTACCTGAAAATGAAGCACTAATTTTGTATGTTTAATTTAGAGAGTATTGTGGTAAATAATGTATTCATCAATTAAAAAGTGCTTAATTTTAGCATTTATTTGTTTTATAGCATCATATTTTATTCTGTTTTGATACTGGTTTTCAAAGCGAAATTTCCTTAGAAATTTATCTGGTAGATCTAACTAGCGATTGGTGCAAAGCTATTTGTGTTAAGAACGAAGTTTGCTCTAATTTTGCCGACTTCTAATTAGGTTAGTGTTGAAATAGTCACAAAGTTCAAAGCAGTCGTCATTGAGTAAATCGGGGGCATTAAACAGAGTGGAAGCCTAAAAGATTTGAATCAATGAAATAGATGTTTGTGATTAAAGTCTTTACAGAGTGAGATCTTTCTCCCTGTCCAGGTAAGCTGTTGCAGTGATAAAAGTACAAGGTAAGGAAAATGAATTAGTTTGGCCTACACGCAGTCCAAAGGACACTTCTCGAGTCA